AGTCGTCCCCCCTCAAATGGGTGCATCGTTATGATTTTCACTTTAAGAAGCTTCACAGGTTTGTTATAGTTTTTCATCCCCTTAATAGATTAATAATATCCTATAATTAAATTCTCTCTTTATACAACACTGCCTCATAGGATATCTTACATACTGAAACACGAAACTTTGGAAACACTAGTTAACATTTTATTTGAACCGTAAGCAGTAACTCGCCTTGCTCACAAAACAGGTACACCCTCTCCGATCTGCCTCGTAATTACTATATTTCATAGTTGATGGATATTACGTGATTTTTAAGTCTCATGCATGCGAATTTTTAAACTATATTTCTCTGATTCTAAATATAAAATCATTTTTATAGTGTCAATTATACTATAAATTGAGTTTTATATTTAGGATCAGAGAAGTATTTATTTTCTAAGTGTCTCTACGCTCTGCCCAAATCAATATTATCTGCATAGTGCGGGGAAAGTGGGTGCACTCTTTTGAAAACTTTTGATTTAATAATATCATTACACTGCTTTCCTTAAAATCTCCGGTTAAGCAGAGACGAGGGTAATATCATGGTCTTCTGCTATTTGGGTTGCATGTTTCATTTCAGACCAGTTTTTGAAAGCTTTTCTGGGCAACAATCACTGGGATCAACTAAAAACAATTAAAGATGGCATGAAATTATTCCAAACCTGAAATTTGCATCCCTGCCGTGCATTACCAAAATGGGATAACTTTTTCAATTGTTAATTAGCTGCCTATGGAAAAACACTGATCCCGTACACACGTTTGGCAATATGTCATAACCAAAATGTGTCTGCGAAAGTCTCTGGATATATAGACGCCATGATATCAGGTGTGAAAAATACGTCTTGTCAGAAGTTACTCCTCCGGTCCTTAATATAATACTCAATTTTTGAATTGATTTTGGTCTTAAATATAAGATCCATTTCTCATATTTATCAGTTTTCTCTAAATTATTCCTATGGATACTCTCTCAACCATAATCAAATAGAAAAAAGAAAGAGGATGTTAAAAAAATGATTATGGTGTTTTAGAAAAAATACATCTTATTAAAAGTTATACATATATATTCCATATAGATGTACGTTAATGTTAATCATGGCTATAGAAACATATATATCCATCATGACAAAAAATCTAAGGTGCATGCGTACGCCTGGATCCACGTTTCATGTGATTCCAAACATGACTCCTGCAGACATGGTTTAGGGTAATGTCAGATACCACCCTTGCCAAGTTGTCCCCCAGACAATAAATATCTGCAAACTGTACGAGGCCATTTAAGGCAGACTCCGGAAGAACAGGTGCACTTTTTGTCTTTCGGGGGTTTTCTCAAACTGCGCGCGTCATCTTTGACACGGTGTTTTGTGTTTTTAGAAATATTTTTTTTAAAAAATGAGACAAATTCCTCTGCATGTTTATTTTGTAAATCATAAAAATATTTTTAAAACTATAGTTTAGTTTTTATCCAAACAATCCTTAAAAAAAAATCTTTTTTCTACGGCGATATTAATACATATTTGCTTATAATATCATATTTGACATGATTTTGAAAGCAAATTGACTTTTTGTCCAAAAACTACTGTATACTTGTTCCGGTTTTAATATAAGAGCTCATTTATTTTTTTATTTTAAATATAAGATCTAAATTTATTTTATCTCTTATATTTATCTTTTTTTTTTTCAAAATAGTCCTTATAATCATATGAGTCCTAGTTAATATACTTGATTACCAGAAATATTCTAGAAAATACAACTCTTATTCATTATAAATAATTAACGTAACTAATTTTCTTACTCTACTCAAATTAGTTAACTAGTTTTTATATTAAGATTGGAATAAGTATTTCATGATATTCTTTTCTATGCGAGTAAATTGTAGTGATTGTTTGAAAAACATATAGAAATACTACCCCTGCTTTTTATATCTAGAACAGGAGCTAGTAGAGTATAATTTTTGTTTATAATATATTCTGTGCATCCGCACCAAAAACAGATGAAGCTGGCGTTTATATAATGTTAAAAGAATTATAAATAAAAAAATTAAATTAAATTCAATGTCACACTTATTTAGGTAGGGTGGAGTAAGGTTGGGGAAAAAAAAGTTATTAGGCGAGGTTTTTCAGTCATTAATCAATTCAAAAATTTAATTATTAACAAAACACAATAATATCGTGTAATTTATATAGGCAATCATATCTCATAAAACAAGGCTTTACTGTTGATGTATTCATTTAGGTAGCCATGCAGATACCGGCTCCAACGCCAGAATAATTGGTTGCCTTCCCTCTGTTGTCCCGACCCTTGGACAACAGAAAAAGCCACATTTCACATCATTAATTCCTGACCTCCATTTTCGCTTTTGCCTAGAAACTATAGCACCTAGCTATTATCTAATGTTCGTTAACATACGCACACGCACGCAACAAATAGATGACATCAAATGTGGAAAATGTAGCTCCACCGAGTAGACTCTGAGGAGCAGATTTAAATGCGTTTAGATATGTGGTCGTACGAGTCATATGGCAAAACTAGTTAACTCTGCATGCTTTGGCTCCTTGGTTGGATTATGACTCGGATCCATCATTTTTGCTCTCTCCATATTTTGCTTCTTATTTTACATTATCTTCCCACCAACAAGCATTGCCCTCTCATTTTCTTCTCCTTTAACTTCTTGTCCTGCACTATGCTCTATCCATTTGTCACTAAAATAAAGTGCAAGTGTTGCGTCATACCCAATTTTATATTAGGCCTACAAAATTCAACTACACAACATAACATCAAAAAGCTGGTGGAAGAAGTAAGCCTCAATATTATATTATCAATGACCCAGTGTTCTGACCAGAATGCCGTCTTAGTTCCGTCCCTCGCGGCCATTAAAAAGATTAAGAGAGCATGTATAGTGGTCCTCGCACTATTTCCAAACAAGTAAGTTATCCTTTTCCTTTTTTATTCTTACGGCGAAGTATAAGCCCTTTTCCTCAACTGTTTTTTTCTCTAGGAGTTTGGAATCTTTTAAAAAGAGGTAAAATAAAGACTGAGAAGAATATTCAATAAGGTGACTGAATGAGACCTTTTGGTTAACAATCCATCTAAAGATTTGCTTGTTGACAGAGCATAATAACGTTGTGTGATCTATGTAATCGACTCTACATAGTGGGATGAAACTTGTTTTTTTTTTTTTTCCTTGGAAGTTCAAATGGAAGAAGAATGCAAACGGGGCAGAATATGACTTGGGCTCTTATTCCGGGCTCAATCTGATGGGCTTGGATTTTTTATGCTTGTTATAATCTGATGGGCTTCCCTCTGGGCCCAGTAATGGCTCACTAGACCGACTCCATCTAGAGTATCGAGGAAGAAAGTAAACGGAGCAGAATCTGTCGGGCGCGAATCCGATGGGCTTGTCTTTGGGTATAATAATAAGCTCAATTTTATGTTTTGAGGGCGTCAACAAATAATGCACGCGGCACTTCATCTCAAAATTACTCCTTTAATCCTATTTATAAAACAAAAAGAAAATATATTTGTTGTTCCTATTTTTACAATACTGAGAGATTTTTTTACATAGATTTGTAATTTTATTCTCAATTTATTATTGTGTTGATTTTATTTACATAAAGTATAATGCATATTAAATAAGGGTAAAATTAGAAAGTTATTGAATTTTAAATGAGAGTTAACGAAGTTTGAGGTTTTCTTTAGTTTGTATAAAACATATTAGAAGTGACTTATAAATAAAACTAAAGGCATAGGGTTTGCTCCCTAGTGACGGATTACTTGAGCCCCGGCTATTTTTACATATTGTTGGTAGGATTCAATTATCCAGCTAAGGCTCCGCCATGCTGCTCTGTTCCCGACATTAGGCTAGCTGCACCCAATCAAAAGCCAGCAAATTCTGGAAACAAAAATCGTTCTACAATAAACCCGTGATGCACTCATGCTTATTTTATTTACAATTAATAATCATTGATCAATAATTATGTGTATATACACTTTTTTTTAAAAAAAATTAATACTCCTCCGATCCTTAATATAAGACTCATTTAACTAATTTGATTAGGTTAAAAAAATTAGATAAGTTAATTAATTATAAAAAAAGTGACACATTTTTTCTAAAACACCATAATCATCTTTTTTAATACCCCCTCCCTCTTCTACTTGATTATGATTGAAAGAGCATCCATAGGAGTAATTTAAAAAAATTGATAAATATAAGAAATGAATCTTATATTTAGGATCAAAACTAACTCAAAAATCAAGTCTTATACTAAGTACCGGGTAGCTTATAAACAGCGATAACATTTACTAATAGATATAACTTGCTTTTCGCTCTGTGAAATTTATATATTCCTATTCATTTAAAAAATATTTATTTATATCAAACGTAATTTATCATCTCCAAGGTCTCGATGTCCACCGCAAGCTAACGGTATAGGATACAGCGCAACACGTATCAGTATTCTGATTTCAATTTTAGGGAAACGACTTTTGCAGGAGTAATTTTTATAGGATTTTTTAGATATGTTGAATTGTGGGAGAATTATTCATTTCTTAATATATAAAAATAAATAATATTTTTTGTTTGTGCTATGAAATCACAAATAAATGTCATGAAAATAAAAACTATAAACGACAATGACAAAAGAACAATTGAATAAAAATATCATAAATGAATAAATCAAGAAATGCATTTAAAATATAAATCAAATACTTTTTTTTTTTTTGGCCAGAATATAAATCAAATACCTGAAAAATTAGTCTTCTTCAGGTAAAAATTAGCCTCTGCAGGCCTATTTTATTTATACTGGGTATTTGAATTATACAACCGGAGTTGACGGCAACGACCATCAAAGAAAAGTCCGATGCGTAAATCACGAAATTTCGTGGACCCGAGCAGTTCCCAACAAGTGGGTGACAGAACATTCTAGAAGAAATCCTAACCCTAATACTATATAAGCTAACTGCTGCATTTTCACTCCTCCTCTCGCTCGCTCTGCTGTAGTTCGAAAACCAGTGGAGGCTGTGGCCTGTATCCTCTTAGATCTCTCTTCACCCGCCGACACTACATCTTGAAACGCTATGGCCGGAAAAGGAGAGGGTCCAGCCATTGGAATCGATCTCGGTACCACCTACTCATGCGTCGGAGTATGGCAGCATGACCGTGTTGAGATTATCGCCAACGACCAGGGTAACAGAACCACGCCTTCTTACGTGGCTTTCACCGACTCTGAGCGTTTGATCGGTGATGCCGCTAAGAACCAGGTCGCCATGAACCCCATCAACACCGTCTTTGGTATGATATGCTGACTGTCATGTTTGTAGATCTGACTGCCTCATCTGTAGATCCATGACTTTTTCTCTTAATCTTGTTATAGCATAGCATTTTTGGTTCAGTTTATCTTGTTGGCGCATATATTGCTGAATGCTTGATAAATTTTTTTACTCACATTGTAAATGTGGATCCGAGTTTTTAGATTTTCCCTCCTTTGCATCGTTTTCCTATTATGTGAAATAGACTTGGACAAGACGGCGATTATACATTGTCTTGATATTGTAATTTTTCCGAGGCGTATGTACATGTCCTTGTTTGCATTGTCTTTCTTAAAATTTCTGCTGATATTTTAATTCTGAATGACTGTAACGACTTAGCTGCGACATGATCAATCTATTGATGTTTCTTAGATGCCAAGAGGTTGATCGGTCGCAGATTCACTGATGCAACTGTTCAGAGTGACATTAAATTGTGGCCGTTTAAGGTCGTTGCTGGCCCTGGTGACAAGCCAATGATTGTAGTCGCCTACAAGGGTGAAGAAAAGCAATTTGCTGCAGAAGAGATCTCTTCTATGGTGCTTATGAAAATGCGTGAGATTGCTGAAGCCTACCTTGGATCCACAGTGAAGAATGCTGTTGTAACTGTCCCTGCTTACTTTAATGACTCTCAGCGTCAGGCCACCAAGGATGCTGGCGTCATTGCTGGTCTGAATGTTATGCGAATTATCAATGAGCCTACAGCTGCAGCCATTGCTTATGGTCTTGACAAGAAAGCAACCAGTGTTGGCGAGAAAAATGTCTTGATTTTTGATCTCGGTGGTGGTACCTTTGATGTCTCGTTACTCACAATTGAAGAGGGTATCTTTGAGGTGAAAGCCACAGCTGGAGACACTCATCTTGGCGGTGAGGATTTTGACAACAGGATGGTGAACCACTTTGTCCAGGAGTTCAAGAGGAAAAATAAGAAAGACATCAGTGGCAACCCCAGAGCACTTAGGAGGCTGAGAACGGCTTGTGAGAGAGCTAAGAGAACACTTTCTTCCACTGCCCAGACTACCATTGAAATTGATTCTTTGTATGAGGGAATTGATTTCTACTCAACCATTACTCGTGCTAGATTTGAGGAACTCAACATGGATCTCTTCAGGAAATGTATGGAACCAGTTGAAAAGTGTCTGAGAGATGCAAAGATGGACAAGAGAAGCGTCCATGATGTTGTCCTTGTAGGTGGTTCCACCAGAATTCCGAAGGTTCAACAACTTCTTCAGGATTTCTTTAATGGGAAAGAGCTCTGCAAGAGTATTAATCCTGATGAGGCTGTTGCATACGGTGCTGCAGTTCAGGCAGCCATCTTAAGTGGTGAGGGCAATGAGAAGGTGCAGGATCTCCTCCTTCTGGATGTCACCCCACTCTCGCTTGGTCTGGAAACTGCTGGTGGTGTGATGACCGTGTTAATCCCAAGGAACACTACCATCCCAACTAAGAAAGAGCAAGTTTTCTCTACATATTCTGACAATCAGCCTGGTGTGTTGATCCAGGTTTATGAAGGTGAGAGAACAAGGACTAGGGATAATAACTTGCTGGGTAAATTTGAACTCTCAGGTATTCCTCCTGCTCCTCGGGGCGTTCCACAAATTACCGTGTGCTTTGACATTGACGCCAATGGTATCTTGAATGTCTCTGCTGAGGATAAGACTACTGGCCAGAAGAACAAGATCACTATCACCAACGACAAGGGAAGACTATCAAAGGAGGAGATTGAAAAGATGGTTCAAGAGGCCGAGAAGTATAAATCTGAGGATGAAGAGCACAAGAAAAAGGTTGAGGCGAAGAATGCATTGGAGAACTACGCCTACAACATGAGGAATACTGTGAAGGACGAGAAGATTGGGGGAAAACTCGATCCAGCTGACAAGAAGAAGATCGAGGACGCTATTGAGCAAGCCATCCAGTGGCTAGACAGTAACCAGCTTGCAGAGGCGGATGAGTTTGAGGACAAAATGAAGGAATTGGAAAGCATTTGCAACCCTATCATCGCCAAGATGTACCAGGGCGGTGCTGGTCCTGACATGGGTGGGCCAATGGATGATGATGTCCCATCTGGTGGAAGCGGTGCTGCTGGCCCCAAGATTGAGGAAGTCGACTAAGTGCTGTTCTACGGGGTTTCATCTTGCATGCTTTATTTTCCCAGCCACGTTTTCCAAACGCAATGTCCTTATTTTCAATGTTCTAGTTATTATTTGGACTGAGGCAGAATATGCTTTTGGTAGTATCTGCATTTTACGTTTTTGTTTTCATCTGTGAAGATGTCGAATCGTGTTAAACGAATTTTGTCGAAATATTATGCTACATTATAAGTTTGACCTTCAATTTACAGTATTTCTGCTCGGTGGTTTCGAGAGAATCGTTATCACACTTGAATGGCTTGTTAATTTTAATCTGTTTTGCATGAACAATTTAAGTACGCAATGTAAGCTGGAGGCAGTTTCGTATAATGGGACAACATGCTAGATGTCGCAAGGTTGGATCATTTTTTCATTTTTCCATATTAGCTCATCTTTGTTTTAGATCCACTGGCGGCTTTCTCTTGATTCACTTCTCAATACGCCATAGTTTGATTATTCATGACTATTGAAATTTTAACATGAAGTATTACTACGGCTCAGCCAAGGGAAGGTTGAGAGTTTTAATAATGCATGTCCAATTGTCTATAGCTAAACATACATACATGCAAACCTGTTTTATTAGTAATTAAAATATCATCAGATTGATTGATTTAAATAGATTAAAAAAATTAATTATAATAATTTACAGGCTATTTATAATAAGTGTTATTATTTTTAAAATATCTATATAGTTACGGGCTACTTTAAAAAAAATAGATAAATAAAAAATAAATAAATAAAAAGATAGTGAATTAAGATTTTATGTTTAGGATCAAATTAAATGTCAAATTATCTATTATATTAAAAATTATAAGTAATACTGGAGAAGAATCCTTTGGTTCAGCGAAGTCAGAAGGCAAGGCTTTTCGGTAAAGAACGAGAAGATTTAATGTTGAAAAAAAAAAAACCGTGATTGGCAATACATAAATTTGTAGAGCTTCACTCGGGAAACATACGAGAGAGAGGCTGGAGGAATTTAAAAAGTTAGCATTGTTTATGCCGTTCAGACTTCAGACCACTTTTCAAGAGATGTTCTCACGGGTAAAACTTGGAACTAACATGCCGGGGAGCAAGCGGTCACTATGTGTAAGGCCCAACCATGTGTGACTCATACCCAAAAGAAAAGTTAACAGTCCAGCAAGACGTCATCCTTGACCCAGGGCAAATTATTTCGCACTCTAAAGGGTCGCTACCCACTAAAAAGATTAAAAGAGTACTCCTTAATAATTGGTTGCCCGCATTGACCAAGGAATTATTCACGGTGCGCTGGGACCGTACAAATGTACAATTTTTACGTGAGGCCCGTCGCCAAAATCCTCATTCCACCAATCATAAAGCTATCTTTGTCATCTTTTGCCTCTTCGTCAACAAATCAAATCTCACCCTTGGTCTCCTGGCCGTTGGGTGTTTCAACAACTGAGTTAATTTTTACCTAGATTCCCACATATTTCAACCGGGGAAAACTATTACAGCACTATGATTACGCACTACCCCACTAATGCCATAACTAAGAAGGACAACACGGTACACATACACAAGGTTCCACATCTCCATAGTAGCCCTTTAATTTTGGGACCCAAATTTTCCTGTGCTTGTTTCTGCAGCTATGACAAAATTAACCCTATTCTTTATTCAGAGAATCAAATCTCATATAATAGCATATAATGATAACAAACACCCAAAAAAAAAAAATCTCATCAAATGAATGCTCTAAAAAGTGATAGTTTCAAGTACAGCATGTACGTATTGTTTGGGGGTGGAGGGTTACAGAGTGAGTGGACTCGAAATCATTCTGAGGGGGGACTCTTATCCTATCGGAAAGTCATTCTATACTTGAAGATGGATCAGAGTGACAAAAGAAAAATGAATCAGATATTAAAGGACAACACAAAATATAGGATAACAATTATCGCGAAGGAAATCATCTTTAAATATCAATCCAGATAAGTGTATAATTAAGAATGGTGAGAACTGGATGATAAAAGATTAGTAGTCATTACACAATGAATGCCAATGAATGCAAGGGGAAAAAGGCAATTAGTGAGGAAAAGGCTGAAGACAAAAATGAGACGCCTTTAAATATAAATTACACCGTATCATACAATGTTAGTAAAACAATGATATAAGGACCATGGTGGCGACAATCCAAACAACTTTAACGAAATGCATATTTCAAGTTAACATAAAATCATTACCACCCAGTTGAGGGCGACGGCAGACTCGAACTTCGTGCTCTTCAGGTCCATCACGAAGTTTCGGCACCGTGATCTCCAGCACTGATCCTGGCTCATCATAGTATGCTTCTAGCTTGCCATCTTCTGGAATCCGAGTAGAAAGTGGAATCTCTCGAACAAACTCACCAGGAGGGCAGTGCTCTGAAGATGGATCTGCAAGCTTGAATGTCCTATCCTGTCTCTTGATAAATGGTTTCCCAGACATGCTCACACAAGTAACCTTTATGATACCATGAGTAAAAGTATTCCTCCAAGAAACTTTCACGCTCGGGAGATCAACAAAGGGCAGACTGATAATAATTAAGTAGCCCCGTTCATCCTCATAAATAGTTTTTGCAGCCGTAACAGGTCCATAGGCATTTCTCATTACTCCACTGAAATTACTCAACCATTGTGGTTCACTTGGGTGAATTTCCATATCTGGAATCCGATCCGAAGGAGGATTAACAACCAAGTGACAATCATCATCATTAGCATGGGGGAAGAAATCTTTCCTCCTCTTGCTGTTAGGGGATAGATCCATTGCATCGCCATTACTGTGGTTAGAAGGATGAGTTGACAAGTTAAGCCCAGATCCATTAAGCAGTTTCTTTGGGTGTGCATTTGAAGCACCCTTGATTGTGGAATGATGCTTCTCAAGCTCGAAGTCTGTACTGGGAAGAGTCCTCCATGAACTAAAATCACTTGCTTCAGGTGGGATTGTGAAATTGAAATCCCTGCCAGTAAGTTCCATCCACCTTTTCCGCTCATCCTCATCAATTCCCGCAAGGTTAGGGGATGAAACAACCTCAATGCCATGCAAACATTGGGGATTTGATAGGCCTCTATAATGTTTTCGTTGCATCCTGTGAGATCGAACAAAGCCTCTATCGACACTAAATGGAAAAGGGGGCTCCCCTTGGCGAGAATGGCCATTCATGTAACTTCTCAATTGCATCTTGCCCAATGCATTTTCCGGCCTCTCCTTGAAAACCCACATGTACATGTTTTCCATGTCATGTTGAACCATGAAAACATCAAGCTTAAGATCAGATTTATCGAACCCTGAAACACCGCTGCTGTTCCGAACTATCTTAGCCTTGGATTTTTCATTCAATGCAGGCTTAAAATAGAAAGTGAAGAAAAACCATGCTCCCCATATACTATCAACTCGTTTTGAGCACTTCTTTCCACCTTTAGGAATGGGGTTGAGGAAACTCTCAGTCTCATACACTTGAGTGCCAAGGCCAACATCTAATATATCGCACGGGTCAGAATTCCACAACGGTGGAGGCGGGCTGCGCTCTGTTGACAGGGGCAAATTGATATCCGGCGGACGGGAAAGTATGACTTGCCGATTCATCTCCAAATCCAGTTCCTCGTGAGAAGATGCGCTTGAATCCATAGACAAGAGCGTGGATGGGTGATGATTCTCCATTGACAATGATGTGAGAAGAGAATCGCCCATCTCACCTCATCTCGTTGACGAGAATCATTGCTGGTTGATTCAATGTTGCCACCCCAAAAACAATCCAACAAAACAAGCTTATAAACACCTTCGTCATATTAATCCCCTCTATACTTCTCCATTAAATCTCAAAACTTATAAATCAGATAACAAAGTCCTCACGCACACTCAGGGAAATATTTTTAAAAGCCCGTCACTATAAGACTCAAAACATAAACTGTGTATTTACCCACAAATAATTTAAATTACATACTGAACAAATTCTATAGGAAAAGACAGAGAAGAAAGATGAATAGACATATACAAGGTATAAAGTCTCTTTAATCTCCACCCATTAAAAGAGAAAGGAAAAGATCTCGAAAATGCTCAGGGGAAATTAAGCGTTGCCCTAACCCAAAGATCTCCAAAAATCCTCCAAACTCAGGCGGGAAGCACTCAATCAAAACCATCAAATCCACAAAAGCATGTAAACTATATAACTTTTCGCAAAGAGAAAGGTTTAACAATTATAAGAAATTGATGGTTAGCGACAGAGAGACCCGACAAGAAAATCAAAAGGGATCTTCAAAGAGTACCTTTGGGTGTAAGCATATGAGAATCGAGAACAAGAAGAATAGGAAGAAGAACTTGCGCAGCCAACGAGGACGCTGTTCTCCATCATAAAATCGAAAACCATATCCTCGACTCCAGACTTTGCCCTCTACTCTTTTTTTGGGGGGGTGGGGGGTGGGGGGACGAAAAAGTAAACAATCTCCTCCTTCGTAGACTCGTCAAACGAGAACACTGAAGAGGACCCTGTAGGGAATTAGCGGAGAGTTTGCAGAGGCGGGGAAGCTGTCTCATTATAACGACAGGTTTTTGGGGTTAAGACCTTCACTGGATACCACCCGCTCGCGCCACCGTTTGTTAACGGTGATGGTGCATTTCCCTGTCTGATTTTTGTTGGTATTGCTCGTTTGTAACTACTTATAACGCCCTGTTTGGCTTGGGCTATTCCCCCTAGGCTTTAATAGTCTTGGGCACCGAGGGTTTCTGAGTAAGGTATCAAGTCAGGGCATCATGGACTTGGATTTTTATCACTATCCTTCCCTTCCTCTTTCTTTCTGTTACCCTCTTTTTTCTTTCACAATGGTTAGATTAAAATTTCAATAGTTTAATTTAACATCTAATAAAAATAATGTTATAAAAAAGTAAATAAGTAAATTTAAACTGTTCAAATCTAGTTTGAACAGTTCATTACTGTAATAAAAAATTGTGTTGTGATAATAGTCTGCAGCTGTGAATTGATTAGATCAGATTTTAACAGTTTTAATTTATTTATCTATTTTTTACAATGATATTTATCTTTATAAAATGTTATAAAATATTAAAGTTGAACCATTGGAGTTTTGTTCCCATGATTGTGAAGAAAAAAAGAGGATAGTGGAGAGGAAGATAATGCAAAAGGTCGCGGAGAGAATCCGAGTCCATGCAGTAATACTGCTTATCCTAACCTAGTTTGCATCCACTTCTACTATAATATTATCTTCATTTCTTAATATAAGAGCCAGCTGACTAATTTAAGTATATTAAGAAAACTAATTAAGTCAGTTATTTATAATAAATAGATGTTTTTACTAAAATGTTCATACTAATCAAGTGTATTAGCTAGAACTACTATTATTGCAAAAACTATTTTGAAAAAAATAGATAAATATGAGAGACAAAGTAGATTGAAATTTTATATTTATGACCAAAACAAAAATCAAATAAGCTCTTATATTAAAAACCAGAGATAATACTCACTTAAGGATAATTGACATAATCTGCCTTTAATCAAACCAGAACAAGAAAATATTGCAAGTTTTTCTTTCTGCTTCGTGGAGTTATTTTCGTTTTAAATTCATTATTACGTGAGGAAAATGCGTATTTAAATGCTTGAGTCTCATAAGTCAGAACATTACCAACCATGTGTCTTAAAACTATAATTTGTTTACTTATGCAGAATTGGAGTCCTTAAATCCTTGCATCTCACTCTATCCGTTGAACTCGAACCAAACACATTTGTTTGGGGGGGGGGTAATTGAAGTGTCTTTTGTGTGCATATACACTTTCCACTCACAACTCCAGGTTCAAATTTTAAAGGTTTGGTTGGTGCCTAAATACAGCGTGATAGTTCTTCACCAAAAAAATTAAGAATACAGCGTGATAGTTATGCTTTTTATTCTCTTTTTTATTTTTCATTCCTAACCCCCCGGGACTCAAGCTGCTGGCATGTTTTTAATTATGAAACAGTACTTCATCGTAAATGATAATTTCAATGAATGGTAAGTTGAAAAGTCATATATTTTTACAGATTTAAAAATATTAATTTTATTAGCAGGCTTTATGCCATAGTAATTAGAATCGAAGTTAGAGACAGCATACACACTTGGTGGTGTGTGGGGTTTGGAGGCTGCAATTTGTTTTGGAAAACGGCTGATACTGGGAACGAGTTGGAAGAATGGGAGTGGAGGATTGGAAGGAGAAGATGACGTGTCGACATTAGCCGTTACTTAGTTGTCGGGATGTGGCTACCAGTGCCCTTTCCCCCACATGGAATTTTGGCCTTACTTTACGGAAAGTTTGCTTAAAAAAATTAAATACAAAAATTCTTACAAATAAAAAATATTCTACTTATTTAATTACTAAATTATCTTTTTTTTAAAAAATATGTATTGATAATTAAAAGAATATCAACAACTTAAAGTATAACGATCAATAACTATCGTGATAAATTCTAATAACATAGTTTCTTTAACATATTACAAAGATTTAATGCATAGATCATTAATACTTGCTGTGATAATTATTAATTATTATATTTTAAATTATTAATGACTATTTTTTAATTTCAATGCATATTTTAAAAAAAACGATGACACTTTCGCAGCTAAGTAAGTGGGCCCCTTAAAATTTTAAATTAACTTGACAACTCTAAGGGATTTTTTTTAATATAATTTTGAGGCAATTTTTCCCTACGATATTGCCGCTGCCGCCTTCTCTCTCTCTCTCTGGTCAACACACATCCCTGCCATCCGCTTACCCCTGCCCCTGCCTTCTTATCCGAATGTCCCCACGTACACTTCAAATACGGACAACTAAGATTTATTCAGAATTAGCAATTAGTTTTTAAAAATAACTTTTTTATTCACTGGGGTCAACTCTAATTATCACCGCATATCTAATTCTCATCGCGCGTGTTCATGCGCGTACGCGTTCTTCTCTGGAGCAGAAAGTTTATTCTGATGCGGACACTGCTATCCACAGCGCCACCTCTCATGTAAGCTAATTCTAAGGGGTTTCAGCCAAACATGGTTATTAGATTAAAAGCTGGACCAGGGCTGGAGGGATGAAGTTAATTTTTTTGAAAAAAATATTTATTAAACCAGAATTCATAAAGTCCCGCTGATATAATTTCACCCCGTACTTGCCTTTGAAAAGGGTAGTTAATATCGGCCGGAGCTCAGATCTCGTCGACAAATGGTCTCTTCCTAACCTAACGATCGAAAATCAGGATAAGCTGTATACACGGGGAACCAAAATTAATTACGAAGCTCAGGTGGACCTAAGCCATATAGGCCTCCACGCCCAATATAAGGGACGGAAGATGCCATCAATTTTCATTTTAAAAGAAATAAAATGAGAAAAAATTGTTAATTTGTTTTTTTATATGTTTTCTACAAGTGAAACTATACCTAAAAAATAAAACTGCACCTGAGAAAAAAATTAAAGTTATCAGATTTTAATCCAACGGTTCTTATTATGAGACGATTATGCATCCTACCCACATCCTTTTTCGCGGTATGCAGAAATTTCTGTGCTCCAATTCCTATTACTGTTGCTGCTGCCTCTTTTATTTCTTCCTCCGCATCACCCCCCTCCTCCCCTTTCCATTCTGGGCGTCACAAATTTAAATGTTTAGGCGAATCCGCCAATCAGCGTTATTAGTGATTGTTGGCCGAGTAAGAATATGCGATAATACATTAATAATCATCATTTGAGCATGGACTCAAAATAATAGAAAAGTGACTGTTTCTCAGCGATATGGCTTCGTCCTGCGCATATATTTTCAAAAGAGGCGCATTGTCATATGTATGATAATGCAGCCATTCAGGGAATCGAGTGCTCTTTTGATTGGTTGGTGTGACTCAACACCCATTGGTCGAAAAATAAAACACGACGGTGAGGGAGTTGATGTCAACAATTAATAGTGTATGTAAGGGATAGACCAAGGGATGTTTTGAGTAAGATCAAAACTATAGTTTTCAGAAGTGCTTTTTACGGTATACGAAACAAATATATGAAAGAGTTTGTCTCAATTTACAGAAAAATACTTTTAAAAAATGATTATTAGGGTATTTAAACACTCCCGAGTTGTTAACCGGCAGTGAGTTTTACACACACACATGAGTATGTGTGCGTACGTGTCATATACGGAGAAAGAGAAGTAATTGAACAGCGAGACCAGCTAGCGTTTTGTGTGAAGCGTGAACACATCATGGAAAGCAGCGTTACGTTGCAGATTCCTGCGCCCACACGCTGCAGATTTATATTACTATTGAATAATAATTACTCCTCCGGTTTTTAATATAGGACTCATTTAACTAATTTGATTAGATTGAAAAAATTAGGTAAGTTAGTTAAGTATAAGAAATGTGACACGTTTTTCCTAAAATACCATAATCATCTTTCTTAATATTCTCTTTCCCTCTTCTACTTAATTATCATTAAGGGAGTATCTATAGGGTTAATTTAGAGAAAATTGATAAATATGAGAAATGAGTCTTATATTTAGGACCAAGACCAATTCAAGAATTGAGTCCTATATTAAAGACAAGAGGAGAAGTATATATTTTCATTATAACACGAGGATATATATATAGAGAGAGAGAGACTGGGAATATATAGAAAGTAGTAATTAATATTAACTGTAGAGCTCGTACGAAAATCTGTGCTTTTGACTGGTAAGGTGGTGGCACAATTAACATGCATGATGCGAGATAGAGGAGTGATGAGAGCCCACATCCAGGGGCCACTCAGTTTCCCACCCCTCTTTTTTTTAATTTCATTTCCCTGCCTGCGTAGCTTCTTTGCACTCATACACGCATCTACTTTATTATATATTAACATACATCATCAACTCATTTGCATAGTTTGATGATGTGTGCAGTGTGTGTGCGTGGTTAATTCTTCTTAAGCCATATATATATATATATATATATATAGGGGATATCATATATATGGATAGATATTAGCAATTTAAATATACACATTAACATCAAGGGCCCCGTCTCTTCACTTCACATTCACGATTATTAAGTAGTGTATGTTGAACAAGGAGGCACATAGAGGAAGGGAAGGTGGTACCCGCGTGTATATATATATATATGCCTTACTCTCTCGTCCAGTGTCATGCATCAGGATTTAATTTAAAGTTATTTGTGTCCTCACTGTAAACGTCATTATATTGTTATATAAACCCACTTGTATAAACTGTAGTTGTTTGTGCGCACAACTATCTCCGTAAAATTGACTCACTCTGTACAAACTGAAACAAGAGTTGCTAACTATAGAAAAGTAGAAAACCACGCCCATATATATATATATATATATGCGCACAACACACACATACATATATACATATATATACATATATATATTATGCGCGCGCGCGCCCCGGGGGAACAC